CGAATAAATTGCCCTATATCAGCCATACTTTCACACCCCAAAGTCATCATCTTTTCTTTGCCGAGTGGGTTCACACAACAGAGCGGTAGAGAGAAAAATAGGAGAGAGATTGAGAATAGAAGCTGTGGGTGAGAGTTCTTGACTCTTAAGCCTGTATCTAAGGCTCAGATTTTCACTTTGTTATGGTTTAATCTCTGGTAGCCTTGTATTTATGTTGGTTTTATATGTGAATTCAGTGTTGTTAATCTAGCTTTCATGCATGTTTTCTGTTTAGAATAATCTCTTATACCCATTTGTTTATCTTGTTATTTTCTGTTTGGTATATCTTGTTTATAGCATGCATGTTTATAGTGACCATTTGTGTTTTATGGATTTTGGGTTTTTGATCTTTAACCCATTTCTCATAACTTATTTCTGCTGTGATTATTTGTGATTTTTTGGAATTTGTTCAATTTTTAAACCCCTTTTTTAATACTCTCTCTTTCATGTCTGACAAGAGGTTACTGATGTAATGTTTTTGCTTATTTGTTCATGTGTTGAGATGTTTATGGGCGATGATGGTAGTCATTGGTGTGAGTTGAATATAGAGAGTACAATGTAGCTGTTTTCATTGTATTTGTTGGAGGATGACATTGGAAGTATGGAAAAATTGATTTTCTTTCTTTGTCTTTCTTGATTTGCCATATTTCATGGGCATCTTTAATCGTGGTAATTGAAGATCTCTACTTTTTATGAGTTGACCTTTATTTGTGAAGCCAATGGTTTGAACAATTATGTGTAATGTGTTAAATCTAGATCTTTGAAACTATATGTGGGAGAAGCTTTTTTTTTGGGGGGCGGGGGAGAAGTGGGTCATAGTTGTGAAAATCTTGCAAGTTTTTTTTATCAAAAATTGCATATTTATGCCTTGCTAAGGTGATGTATTATTGTCCTATCCATGTGATCCTGTATTCATTCGTGTATTTCTTTTCATAGAGCACATTTGTTCATACTTGTTTTTAAATAAAAAATAATTTTAACATCTAAAAAGTGTGGTCTTTGACCACGTTTTAGAGGGGCAACACACTTCTCAAAATTGTCTCTCTTCTACAAAAACTCTTTTTCTAACTCTCTCTCTAATTTTTTTGGGTTTTATTAGACTATAAATTAAATAGATGGAAGATATGAAAACAAACCCATTTGAACCAGATGGAAGAGGTTTCGAGGTTGATTTTTTTTTTTATTGTGATTTTGGGGCCAACTTTGGAAGGGGTTTTGAGCATGTTTTTGATCTACTTCTTCTGTCGTCGTTGTCCTTGGTTGTTGCATTTTTTATTTTTTATAAAAGAGAGAAGTTTGGAGTGGAGTTTGGAGTTTCAGTTTGTATGGTCGTGTTTTCAATGCGCTTAATTCTTGAAACTGTCTCTCTTCTACAAAAACTCTCTTTCTAACTTTCTCTAATATTTTAGAATTTTTAGAGTTTTATTAGACCATAAATTAAACAGATGGAAGATATGAAAATAGGCTCATTTGAAGAAACCGAGTTTGAACCAGATAGAAAAGGTTTTGAGGTTGATTTTTTTTTTTTTTTCTATTGTGATTTTGGGGTTGATTTTGAATGGAGTTTTGATTATGTTTTTGATCTACTTCTTTTGCCATCGTTGTTCTTGCTTGTTGCATTTTTTATTTTTTACAAGAGAGAGAAGTTTGGAGAGCAGAGTTTGGAGTTCAGATTGTAAGGTTGTGTTTTTAAGGCACTTACTTCTCGTAACGGTCTCTCTTCTACAAAAACTCTCTCCATAACTCTCTAATTTTTTGGGTTTTATTGGACCATAAATTAAACAAATGGATGATATGAAAACAAACCCCATTTGAAGAAATTGAGTTTGAACTAAATGGAAGAGATTTTGAGGCTCTTTTTTTTTTTAATTGTGATTTTGGGGCTGCCTTCGAAAGGAGTTTTGAGCACGTTTTTGATCTACTTCTTCTGCCATCGTTGTCCTTGCTTGTTGCATTTTTTAGTTTTTACAAGAGAGAGATAGAGAGAAGTTTGGAGAATAGAGTTTGGAGTTTTAGTTTGTACGGTTGTGTTTTTAATGCATTTACTCCTCGAAACTCTCACTCTTATACAACAATTCTCTTTTTCTAACTCTCTCTGCATAACTCTCTCTAAATTTTTGGGTTTTATTAGACCATAAATTAAACAGATGGAAGATATTAGAACATACACATTTGACGAAACTAAGTTTGAACGAGATGGAAAAAAATTTTAAGCTGATTTGTTTTTTTAATTGTGATTTTGGGTCGACTTTGGAAAGAGTTTTTAGCATGTTTTTATCTACTTCTTTTGCCATCGTTGTCCTTGCTTGTTGCATTTTTTTTTAATTTTTACAAGTGCAAGAGAGTAGTTTGAAGGTTTAGTTTGTACAATTGTGTTTTTAGTAATGTTAAAAAAAAATTTATTTAAAGGTGGATTTATTGATTCCGCTTTTGTTGACCACACTTTTAAAAAAAAAAAACGGATTTAATCATCCTGATTTTTAGTAAAAACGGAATTGTTAACCCCATTTTAAAAAATGTCGTGTTTTGGTAAATAAGTTTTTTTTTTTTGGGTAAATAAGTTCAAAAGTGTCATATTCTGGTAATTTTATTTCAAAATGACTGTATTATGGTAAATAACTCTGGATAGGTTTATCCAAAACCCAAGAAAAAAGGCTTCCCAAAAAATCCAACTTCTCCCATTGAGTTGAAAATATGTTGATGGTAAATCCTTAGGTATTTAAATGTTGGCCCCTCCAAAATTTTTAAAATTCTACCAATAGGATGATAATTGTTTCCAAGAAAAACCACTTATATCCTCTTGAAAAGTCCCAAGATTACTTAAACAGAATTACACCTTCATCTAAGTTATTTTGATGTTTGTCTGTAGATAATTTAGTCTCACTTTTTTTATACTAAGCTATTTCATTTGCCAGACTTTGTTAATAGTATAATATTTCAGTCAACTTCGACAAATATCTTGCCATCCACTCCAAAAGAAAAGTACATGGCTTTGTCTTGGCTTGGGGTGGGGGAACTAAAACAACTTTTATGATGTTGATGAATATTTTTCATAGCTTTGCTCTTAATTCTAGAGTAATGGTTAAGAGTTGAATGCTGTCATGAGTAACTGGCTCCAGATTTCAAATATGCTCTAATGTGTGGGTGGACTATAATAATGTTATGTGATCTGTGAGTATACTGGTTTTCCATCCCGATGTACCATAAAGGCAGCATTTTCTATGTCTGGTTTAGGGAATCCCACAACCCTAGTATTCAGATGCCAACACCATAAATGCATCACCATTTCAGGGTTTCATTTTTTTTCTTTTTTTTCTTTGGGTTTTTTTTCCATGCCAGCGGGGGAGGGGGTGGGGGGGAAAGGGTTCAATATTATGACTAACTTAAGGTGTGGGGGTTTGTTTATTAGCTGATTTGGGCTGACCTTGCAAATCGACTGATCTTATATTTAGATGCTCAATTCGCTGCTGTGAAGTCTACTCTTTAAAAATTATATTGTGGTCGTATTTTACTATAATATTTTATGTTTGTTTTCCGGTTGTTTTTGTCTTTTCTACCATTTTTCTGAATTGACCAATCTTCTAGTATGGAAGTCCAGTTCCTAAGCACATGTGCATCAATGATTTGGCAGTTTGATTTTGTTCCTATGGCAACGTAAAAAGTCTTTCCCTTGAAAGTTGTACTTGTTTCTTAGATATTTTCATGTCATGTTATGGTATAAAGAGATTTTATTGATTTTGGGTTACACATTGACGCTAATGATGAGAAGGGCTTTTCTCACATTTGTTTTGGGTTCTCAATTTTTATTATCTATTCATTTGTCTTCCCCCAAGCCAAAAAAAAAAGACTTATTTAACGAACTAATTTTTACTTACTGGGAGGTATAAAGGCTGACGGGTGGTCAGTATCCTCCCAATCTTTATACAACATTAGCAGTATGAAAATCCCATCCTCCATGTTTGTATTGTGTTTCATGTGTCAATCAATTTTTTATTTGTTAACCTGAAATTTGTGTATGAAATATTCTAGCAGCCAGCTTCCTATATCTAGTTTCTGTGGCAAGATCTCTCCTATGTAGATTAAGATAGATAGTTAACAATCATGGTCGTGGATCCATGTTTTAAGTTGGCTCTGATGCTCTAATCTTCTGCTTACGAAGATGCTTTTTCCCCTTCTCATCCTATATGGTTGTTTCCCCCTTTTTACTACTAAAATCATTAGCCATGTGTGCGTATATGAGTTTACTATTTGGTACAGCTGGCTGTTTTCCTTCTCTACTAGTTTAGTTGAAGGTTTGATTGATCCAGTTGTGTTCCTTTTTGTCTATTGTTTTTTAGGGCCAAATCCTTTCTTTACTTCTTTTGGCGTGGTCAATGAGACTGTTGATGTTGTGCAAGAGAAAATGTGAATTATTTTATATTCTTTGGCTAAAATGTGCTACAGAGAGTATGGCCCTAGAGAACATGGAAAGGGATAGATGATAGATGATACGTCTTTGGCAGTCTAGAATTGCAGAGTAGGATATGCAATTCCTACTTAGATTGTGGTTATAATACATAATTGCATTACAGGGTAGGATATGCAATTACTACTTATATAGCGGTGATAAGACATTGCTAATTCTGTACATCTGTAGTTGTTGGTACTGGACATAACATCTTTTTTTGGCATGTTTAAAAATGTTCTGTGCTTCTAATTTTAGTTTAGATGATGTGCAAAAGCTTTGTCTCACATCCCTTCTGCTTTTGATTGTTAACTTGAAAAACCAAGGTTTATATATTATGGATCCTTACTATGTCCTTTGGAAATTAAAAAAGAAAATTCTCTCTATATAACACACACATATTTGTCTTTGTTTCTTTTATATTCAGGTTTGTTTCTTACAAATTCTTTTACACCATTATATTTGTGTATTTCTTATACAGCTTTAAACTGCCAAACAGAAGTATTCCAGATGCATTTCTTGGGTTGGTGGTGCTATTGAGGCCTGTGGAGAAGTTTTGTCGGTGCCCCATATCTATCTGAACTCTATCGAGCATATTTCGACTTTTTAAGCAAAGTAAATTGGCCCAGATGCAAGGTCAAAGCAGCTCCACCAATTTCTTTACTGGAAACTTCGACTTTAACAATTGGTTGAATTCCAACAATCCTGAGTTGATTCCGCATAATGTAGCCCCTGTAAATGCTCCAGATCATGGAGGCTCCACTTCCATGGGATCAATGGGATCCAGCTCTGCTGTGAGCTCCCAATGTGAGGTCAGTCTTGGGGATTCAAACCTCGAGCGTGGTGGTCATGCTGGGATTGGCCAGATGTTAGAGGGATGGAATTCTGGCCTGATCACTAATAGTTCATCAGCTTTGCATGCGTCTAGTTCGGTTTCTGTCCCTCAGATCGACTTAAATGTAGCATACCAAGGCAATGATGGCAACATTGGTCAGGGATCTAGAGCTCTTGGACATGCGGTTGAAGAAATCAATCAGATATCAGGTTCATCTGGTGGTCTGTGCGCATGTCACAAAAGAAAAGCACCTGAACAAGCCTCTGGACCACATCCTTTTTATGGAAATTCAAACTCCAGTAGGCAAGTTGTAATTCGTGATAGCAACATTATCCCTACCCGTAGCGAGTCTGCTGGGGACTCTTATGTTTGCACTTTGTCAGACAATCTTCTAAATCCAAATCAGTCAGACCAAGTTACCACTGGACTTGGACTTGGGTTTGTAATGGAAGAATCTGAATCTTACATGAATGGAAATTCAAGTGTAGTAGGAACCACAGAAAGTTTTCACAGAAATATACGCGCAAGAACAACAGAAATTCATCAAAATCTTTTCCCACCAAGCATTTCTTTCCCTGGGAATTCAGTAATAAACTCGCACGTGCAGTTCCCTGGTCAAACATCCATAATTTCCTCAATGAATCACTACAATAACTTCCCTGGAAATATTGCTTCTACCTCGCGAAGTGGCTCTACTGTGGGTTTCCTGCCATCAGCTCCTGCAGGTTTTGCTCAGTTCGCTCATCCAAACCGTTCGAGTGCGGGGGTCCAGCTATTTTCTGGTGGACCTGGGTTTCCTCCCAGAAATACTGCAAATGGATATGTGCAGAGATTGTCAGAAATTGTTGATCAATCCAGAACTATATTGGCTAGCTCCAACAACGGAGTGCCGATTGTTAACCAACCGCAACTATCACGCCCTTCAATTACTAGACAAGATGTAATAGCTTCCAGAGCAGGTGACCTAAGGGCTCTTGAGAATATTCTGATGCAGGGAGTCTTGATGACAAGAGCTCCAATGCATAATGCTGATTTCCCCCCAATTCCCCCTGAATGGAGGCCTATTGTTGCTGCTCAGAGGAGAGCAAGAATGTTTTCTGCGGTTAGCCTGCTCAACTCTTTCTTCTCAATTTTTGTAATAAGAAGGTCTTGCGGGGTGTCAATCGTGTCGTGTCCGTGTGACCCGTATGTTGTGTTATTCGTGTCATGTTCGTGTTAAGACCCACAAAAAAAAAAGTCTATTTATGTGTTCCGAGTATTAAACATTAGTCTAGACTGTTTATTATGCGTATTTAATAATCATGTCATTTTTATAATTGTTCGTGTCGAGTTTGTATTAGCGGGTCAGAGTTGACACCCCTCTCTCGCCATTCCTATCGACTTTGCTGATATGCTGATTGATGAATTTACATCATTTATTTATTTGATCATCCATTTAATTTTACTAATGCCTCTAATCAACCATGATTATTGTTCCAGTTTGTTTTCTTGTCTTACAGATTATATTCTACCCCTTCAAAGATTTAACTTTCAACAATCACTTTATCTCATATTGGCCCTTCAGTATTATCCCTAGCTAGTTCTCCCTTCTTCCCACATTCCTATTGCCTCAACTGAGCAGCCCCATAGGCACTGTCAGTCTCATCCTTGATACCCTAGTAAGAAGATGTCGGCTTACTCCGCAGATTAAATCCTCCCATCCCTTCCCCACCCACAGAAAAGAGAAAAAAGCACACACACGTACATACCCATAGAAAGGAATATATAAATGGAATTAAACTTGAAAATTAAAATGCAAAATATCCTGGTCTAGGAGAATATCAAAGAACCTGAGTGTCCGCACTTGAGAACGAACATTTTCCCTCCCACTCACACCAATTTACATAGAGACCTTTGATGACACAATAAAAGAAAGCAACGATCTTGGCTGTGGTACTGGGCTAAAGAAAGGCTTGGGTTTGCATGAGATATGGCTGAACTGGAAACTCCAACCATCTCTTATATAAAAATCACAATTTAGATTGTTCGAATAAAACTGACGTAAGTTACATCCAAAACCAGAGTAGGGGCAAAGCACTCACTGATGAGATGCCAGCTCTGAATTCATGCAGGGTAGCAGTTGTATTCGGTAAACATACCCTGACTTTTTCCCAACACAAGCTACTCTTACTTGACTAGGAGCTCTTTGTATAATATTACTTAATGAAAATAGAGCTAGAGTAGGGCTTGATTTTAAGTTAGGACTACAAAAGTAGTTCTCAATATCTAATACACCAAAATACGCAGGACTAATATGGGATAGGATGGCTACCTTCATTTCTATAGAATCATAGATTAGAAATTTCTGAAAATTGAGGGCTAAGACATACATCTGTATTGTTTTTTAGTCTTTCAATGCGTATGGTTAAGGCATACTTTGAACTTGCCCCTGGATACCCTGTTAATTTAAGGGAAATCTTCCCATGTAGGGTTTGTGGCACCCTGTATATCGATGTTTGTTAACTTGGATTGAGATATATAAGGGCAATGTAGATATTCTGTAGGAATGAAAGAAGTGCAGGAATGCCTCCAGAGAGTTGTGCTATGATTGATTATTGATCAAGTTAATTGGAAACTGTGTTTGGTGATCTAGAGTTATGAGAGGGAGAAAAAAAGAATTGGACCAGGATAAGAATTTTATCAGCAGAAGGTTGAGGTATGTCCAATTGGTGTTAAAGGACATCAGTCTACATTGGTTTTGGAATAGACAACTAACGATTTGTGTGGAAGATAGCTTTGATTCGAGTTAAAAGACAGATAGGAACATAGGAAAGGCCAAAAGAATGTACGCTGCTGTCACTAGAATAGGTTTTGCAGTAGAGCCCAAGTAATCGTTATTTAAGGCTTTGTGGAATTGAGGACTTCGACACCAGAGCAGCCAGATTTGTTGGCTGATCACTCCTGCTGCTTGTTGGAAAGTTGATGCTGATAACTGACTGGATTGATGTGATTGTAAATGTTTTATCCCTGATTAGAATATGCAAATTTAAACTGCTACTGTGATTTTATCATGATTTTGTTCCTTGTTTTTTTAACTTCTTTCTCTGAGCCAAGAAACATTAAATACTTTTAGTTTTCTATCCTAATTCTCAAAATAAGATTATCTGGAATATATTTAGACACTTCGTCACTATACAGAAGAATTGAGTGGCATAACTGGCATGAACATATAATCGCTTTTTAGCCCCCATACATCCTTTTTAGTTGCCTTTATGGATACTTGATTTTGTCCTTGTTGTCTATGGAGCAACAGATACATGGAAGCTTTTCTCCCTGTTATGTCAACCCAACAGGTAAATATATGTGCAGGTACTGTTGGGCACTTTGCATGACGGCTTTAACTATACTCTCTCCATATCTCCACATTTTTGATTTTTGCTGGTGGTTTGGTTTCTCTCATAGGAAATATCTAGAGTAAAAAATGCACTTGAACTATGTTCAGTTTTTGGGAAAGATGGAAAATATATTCTTCCTATGTTCTTATTCATTCCTTATTCTCATCCTTCCTTGCATAGTACTTGTTGATGTATCGGGTAGAAAAGGAGTGTTGAGGAAAACTACATATGCTAGTTTCAGGAAGGGGGCATGAAAGTAGTCTATCTGATTCTGTATTGTCCTTGCATTTTCAAAATCAGTAACTGTGTTATTGGTCTTGCATATACATTGAGCTTAGTTCGTACGAGTTCAAGGATAAGCTTAGATGTTAACAGGTCACCAAGGAAACATGTAGTTAAAGTGGGCTGTGATTGAAAATGAGTCTTCAAGTCACTGTTTGAGTGCGTAACTGCTGTTTATGTGATGTGAATTTGTGTGTGAACTTCCAATTGTAAGTCATATTTTATTTTTTTGGGGGGTGTGGGAGGGAATTTGGGTGTATTTTCACTTTTCACCATCTGAATTAGTAAGACACCAGTCAATTTTATTGGAATTTTTAATTACACTGTTATTTCTATGACAGATTCGCCGTGCCTTGGGACTCCAGCAAAGGTCTGAAGCCACACAAGATGAGGTCAGGTTTCTTGGTTTTGGGGGATTTTATTATCAAGCTCTTGTTCTTGTTGATAAGGTGAATCATTTCTGTAATTGTACCCATCAGTGTGTCTATGGGCAGCATGGTGCTGGGCAAATGGATGGAAAATAAATCAGTTGTCATATCCAAATACCTTTTAGCTATTGTTGCTACTGTTTCGTATAAATAGCTGCTATACATGTTTTGATTTGATCCAATATTCATATATTATATGCATAGATGGTAATTTTCCAGGATGCTCCAATTATTGATACTTCCCAGTTCTATGGGGAACCTGAGGAGGAGGAGGACGATGAAGAATTGGAGGAGTATGATTGGTTTGAAAATATGCGTCTTGATGTAGATGATATGTCTTATGAGGTAATGGTTTAATAGAGGCAGCTAACATTTGATTAAGGTATTGTAGTTTATGTCAAATAGTATGGAAGATTGCGTCACAAATAATGGTTTTGGTTCAGGAATTGTTGGCCCTAGGAGAGCGCATTGGAAATGTGAGCACTGGATTGAGCCAAGAAGCTATATTGGCCTGTATGAGGCGGCACACATTCGAGTCTATCAAAAGAGGACCTGAAGTAGATGCGAAATCCTGCTGTATTTGTCTGGTAAAAAAAATTTATGGAGTTGCATACTTTTGAGAACATTTTAGCAACACTTAATGAGTGAAAGGAATAATGAGACACAAGCCCATGTCCTATCAATGAGTGCAATGAGCATTGTCTAGCATACCCATATAGTCTCACAGCATATTTTAAATTACCATCTTCTTTCTCTCCCGTCCCTTCTTTTCATATTTTTTTTTCGGAAAAAATTGCATTGTACCGTCTAACTAAACTTTTTTCCCTCCCCTTTGTTTGAACCATTTGCAGGATGACTATGCCAATGGGCAGGAGCTTGGCAAGCTGGATTGTGGGCATGACTTCCATTTTGACTGCATCAAACAGTGGCTCATGGAGAAGAATTCTTGTCCTATCTGCAAGAAGACTGCTATGGTTAATCAAAAATAAATCATTGCTCTTTGGGGTCTCTGGTTCTACTAAATGAGAGAAAATCTGCTCGGCCCCTGAAAATTATCTTAGTTGTTTGTTGTTGAACTTGATTTCCGGAGACTTTTTACTATATTTGGTTTTGTTGCTTCAGAACTTAAATTATACAACCGTGGGCATCGCGGTTAGACGACTTGTTGCCTTATGCTGTCTTTTCCCATTCATAAAACTGATGATTTATCGGGCTGAGTTGACCTAGTGGGTTATCCTTCTGCTACAAGAGGCTGCCAACAGAATTCGAGAGGAGCAGAAGTTTCTAATGTCAAAGAAGCAGCAGGTTTATTTGGAAGAATATATGGAAAACTCAGTTCCGAGAATCAGCAGATGTTGTGAAGGTGGTTATTAGATAACAGCATCTTAAATGTTTAAGACTCTCTAGTTTTGCTTTCCGTTTTATCCATATGAATGTTGCTTCAACTGCTAGACCTTTGAGTTTGTTTTTGCTAAACTAAGCTATTTGCAGACATATTCCTTGTTTTGTTGGTTACTTTGATATGTTTGAAAGATTGCATTGTGTGTTTAAACTGAGACTAGAAGCAGAGCAGCACAACATTGGAAGTTTGAATCATGAACCCATTTGGAAAATACAAGACAACTACTAGAGGGAGACCTCTCTTTTGTTTTGCTTGATATGCCTACCACCCGTACTTCTTTACCCAAAGATTTAGCCTCAATTAGGCCGTTAAAAATTCTGTCCACCCGACCTGTTCCGCATCTTCCTAACCGACCTTACCCGATTATTGAAATTTCGCAAAATTTTGGCTAGTCAATGAAAGAACTTTTAGTATTCAGCAAAATCACGGGTAGGAATGCGGAATATCCATAAAATTTTTTGTTGATTTTTTGTGTTTTTTTAGTGTTATTGGTTTATTGTTCATATTCATATTATCAAATTGTTTATGTTTTCTTTAGTATTATTGGTTTATTATATTGGTTTACATGTTCTTATATTATATTTGAATAGCTTAATCGTAAAAGTAGCCCAAAATTTTGGTAATTGAATTATTAAAATGATCCAAAAAATAGTAACATAAAAACTGAAAATATGTAAGATATTTTGTATTCCTATCTGACTTCTAAGCCCATTTTTTAGACTTAATTCATATCGGAACATTACTCTCAATTGGGTAGGGTCAGCGAAGAAATTGGTATTCCGTAATTCATTGGCTCAAAAGATGAAATTCACTATTTCCTACCCGTCGGTTTGGGTGAACAACCGTAGCCTGAATGATCTTATTTCTTTGGTCTTCAACTGGATTAACTAAAAAGTCTAAACACTGAACCAACTTATTGGGCTGAAGAGTTCTCTATCTTAGCAACCCTTAACCATACAGGATAGGCAGATGCAAAGGTGGTTAGAGAGGGGATGGAACACCCCACTCATGATTCAAACTAGTATTTGTTTCACTTTGGACACCAACATCTATGCACCCTCTTAAGCCCGCCGAGCAAAGTGGGTTTGTTCAACTGGTTAAGTAGTGTTCCACTCTCATGTATGATTTGGGGTTGAGTCTTGCTAGCCTTATAGTTGTTTCTTCTTATTGGTTAGGTTCATCATGGTTAAAAAAAAAAAAATACAGCGACTTACCCATTTAGTGACTTTGGCACCGGATAATATTAAAGTCAGCTGCCTAGCCTTATTGTTTATGAAGAGGGAGGATTGTCCAGATTGTTCAAAGAGATGATAAGCTAGAAGGAAAGAGGTTTGAGGATTGGAGACGAAATTGCAACTTTCTTGGTAGCATTAACAGAGTGATGTATTAGGTGGTGTTGTTGTCTTAGTTCACGATTCTATACAATTTGGACAAAAGTCAAGTTTGCTTGTATAATAGGAAAATTCTATCCATAGAAAAACTTGAACCCTAAAGCCATATCTATATTATATTAGCAATACACAATGTACGTTTTATGTAAACATATTTAAAAATATATTAAATAATTAATTTTTATTTTAAATATTACTAAAATTAATTATTTATCTATTTTACCTCTCTTAAAATACCTGTTTTTTTTTAGGTATCTCTCTAGGCCTTTAGACATTTTCTTTGTTGTTTATAGTGGAGCTTAAACGTTATCATTTTTGAATATTTGCATATCTAATTATATTTGTCATTCTAATTATATTGTTTTATACTAATATTATTATATTGTTGTGTACTAAAAAATTCCCGTAGTCACCAAAAGCGTAGGAAAAATGACATAATTTTAGAGGCAGCTTGCCAAAAAGAGTGAACATTTTTTGATAATTTTAATCATCCCGCCATTTTATATGATTTAACTCTATAAGAATAAGTGAACCGTTAGAGACCTAATGCTATTTGATAAGAAGAGTTTTGGTTTAAATGAAATTTGTAGGCTAATAGGATATAGAAGAAAGAATGACGACATTAACAAAAATATGTGGGGGTATAATTGACGGTTATAATAATACTTAAGGATAAATTATAAAATATAGATATAGCTGTAGCAAAAAAAAATAATATTAGCTTGAGAATTTTTTTCTCCCGCTTTTCTAATTTTCAAGAATTTTGAATTATTAATTTTTTTTCTCCAATTATATTCAACCAAATGGCCTTTCCGACTACCTTGAATAACTATTCTAAACTCCATCTAATCATAACTTATTTAAATTTAATAATTTTTGCAATTTTTTTACTAATTTCTAAAGTAATCGGTGGGAGAGAAAAAAAGATAACAAAAAGGACTGGTATGAAAAAGGGAGGGTATGTGCATCTTACAGGTCTCAAAAGCTAAAATAGATAGAAGTTAATTGAAGGATTAAACTAATTTGTGAGAGTTTTAGAGTAAATGAATCGAGCCTAGTTGAGAAATTGTAATAGGTTGTGTTAAGTTTGGTTTGAAAGTTTAAAAATCTTTGGTCGTTATGTTTTTTTGAACTTTGGTCATGTACACATGATTAATAAATAATTATTCATTTACCCAAAAAGTAAATAAGTTCATAACTTACCCCCACTTTGAAAAAATAGAGAAAAACTCATTAACTTCTTGTAATTAATCGAATCAATCTACTTAGACTTAGTTCAAGTTCGACTCGTTCTGGAATTTATTCAAATTCTACTCGTTTTTTAAATGAATTTAAAAAAATTTGGTTCAAATTTACAAAATTCAGCTCATTTATATGTAAAATAATTGAATTATTTAAGTTCAACTCTTTTTTTAAAAGGGGCAAATATGAAAAAAAATTTAAAATTTTTTAATAAAATAAATTTGATAAATTCGATTTAAACTCACGAAACTCGATTAGACTATCGGCTGTAATTATAAATAGAATTGGGTCTCATATTATTTTAATAGTAGATGATAATCCATTGCCTTTTATGTACTGTTCAGTTTCTGGCGCGCGTGAGCCTGCGATAAATATTGAAATTTAATGTGGGCCCTCCGCAGTCTTATGGCCTGAGCCGCTGACAACCTCTGTTGTCTCACTCACTACTCAACAGAGTCAATAGTCAAAGAAACACAAAGAAAATGCTATACTGTACTCCAGCGTACAGCTTCTTAAAATCAGAACCGTACACTCAACAACAAATCTCACAAGAAATATGCTGAAAGGTCAAAAATTTTGTCTTCATTTATTTTTTGAATTAATCAAATAAAATTAAATAATAAAAAAAATTATGTCTTATACTCAATAAATTAAAAATAATTTAATATTACAAAATAATTTGTGATATAACATCATCTCCAAAAATTCCACAATGGGCATAAGAAGACTAAAAATACTGCCTTCATTACTCTATTCAATTTAATAAAATTTTATCTCAACATTTTTAGAATTAATCTTCATTTTTTTTATCAAAAATTATAATTTTTTTGGATGTAAATATCAACAGTAAAAGATATCATCGATCCCAAAATATTTTTATCGATCGTAAAAATTATAACTTTTAAAAATCAAGTTATATCTCATAAAAGAAAAATTATAACTGGCTAAAGTAATTCATGATCGATCATAATATTTCGTGATTAATTATGAATTATTCTATATAATTATTATTTTATCTTAAAAAAATATAATTTACCATAATAATTTCACTATGATATCAAAATTTTTTGTTAGTGTTATCCGAATGAACAACAAAATAATATGGTAATTTAAGTTGTAACATTGAGAAGTTATAAAGTTAGACATCTTAAATTTAAATCTTGATAATTTTTTATGACCAGACTATAAAAGATTAATTTCTCATGAGTACTCTAATTCCAGCATAAATAGTTTATTTTTAATAGGATCGAAAAAATAAAAAATTAATCATAATTCACGTAAATTAATTTAAATAATTTTAATCTTTAAAAAAAATATAATAATATAGGTACTAACAACGACGTGACATGTCCACTTCCCATTGGGAATAGATGATTTCTCCATTTTTCCCCGCTAACCAATCAAATCAGATCACTGTTGACTTAAAAACCATAGTGAGCCGTTAGATCGTTCATGGTGGTCCCCAGTTACATATCTCAATGCAACCTATCGCTCTATTCAATCGACACGTCATTATCCAGAGCCTCAGAGCCTCAAGACATTGCTTGCCTTGTGCGTTTTTTTTTTTTTTTTGGCTTTTGATGAGTGACAAGGACGTTGATACTCTGGTGGTCCCTGTAGTAGGGTATAAAACACAAGGGGTGGGCCGGGTTTGGATTCGAAATATTTTAGGCCAGTGGGTTGGTGCCACGTTGGCGTACTGATGAGAAAAAAGGCTGAGGCATGAAGATATTGATAAATACGTGCAACTGCAAACAATTATCATTATTACTTTGTTTGTGGGATGGTTAAGGTGACGTTTGGGTCGGACGAGACATTGAAAGGATTGGATAGTGATTGGTCTGATCCTCTCACCAACGCATCAATGAGAGAAATAATAGAAGGCGGAGATGCCCCCACTCGCATTCAATATTTTGTAGTTGTCACACTCTAAAAGTACTTACATATGGATTGAGATCGTATTATTTTCGGTTTGAATTTAATATAATTTAAATAATAATTATGTTAGATAATTTGATATTAATTTGTGTTATTTATTCATTGACTTGTGTTCAAAGGAAACCATATACCTCGTAAATAATAATTTATATTCAGAAACACAAACTGTTAAAATTTATAAATGAAAAATTCACTTAGGTCATGTGCTTGTAAAATTAAATAAAAAATTCTTTAAATCTATACCTTTTTTTTTTGTACAACAATGTATTAAATAGTGGGAAGAAAATGAAAATATTCTTTGAATGTTTTCATATTGAGCAGTTGAGTGTGTTTTGTCGAGTTATAATTGAATTATTTGTGTTTAAAATTAATTTAACTCATTTATTATTGATGTTAACATATCATATCATTTTTAAGTTAGTGTCAATAACTAGCTAGTTCTAGAATAATTTTGTGTTGGATTCGTGCGGGGTAGCAAATTTACACCCATAGTTTCGGGCGGTCTTTCTTGAGGACAATGAAAATTATTTATATTTAACAAATTTCATATATTTGGAAAAAATGATTGGAA